TTCATACGCTTCGGGGCCCCAAGAGGGAGAAGCTCCACCGAAGGCCTCAGTGGCAGGGTTCGCATGGCGGCCCCGTCCCAGTTTGACACGCCCCTCACACGTTTCGTGGCCCCACAAGGAGTTCGCATGGCGGCCCCGCTTCATTCTGGCACACCCCTCACCCGCTCTGTGGCGCCCTATGGAGATCCACCGAAGGCGATACTCACAACGGCTGTATTCACAACTGCACGTGGTTGGCTCCTCCGCCCGGATAGTTCAACCACAGCGCTTTTCCATTGCTTTCGGCATCTGGGCGGCCGTTGCCATGCCCAGGGGCCCTCAAACATGGACCTGAGACGACCCCCCCCCCTCGCCGGCGAGGCGGTGGGGACTTCTGCAGCCCGGTAAGCTTTCGGGTTGCGCGCAGACGGCCCCCTCTCAGGTAGTCCTCGCCCGCCTCAACAAGCTCAACAGGCCCCCCCGAGTAGCCCAGGGCGGTCTCAACACCCAAACCCTGGGGCGCGCAGCTCCTCCTCCTCCTCCTCCTCCTCCTCCTCCTCCTCCTCCTCCTCCTCCTCCTCCTCCTGCGCCGCTGGAGGCGGCGCAAGGGTGTTGAGACCGCCTGTTGAGGCCTGTTGAGGCCAGCTGGGGGCTACCTGTTGGACTCGGGGGGCCTGTTGAGGCCAGCTGGGGCTACCTCGGGGGGCTGCCTGTGCGCAAGCCGAAGCCTTACCAGCGTTACCACGGCGGTGCCACTGCCGCAGGCCAGGACGAGATTTTCAGTTATGACTGAGGTACAACTCCTGCTAACTGTTCGTAACTCCATTAGACCTTCAAGGCCAGACATGCGACGGCGTGTTTTTTTCGCACCGCGGACCCCTGGAGGTCTAGACCCCTTCCCCAGCACAGGTCTTTCACACTGAGCCGTTTCTTGACGGTCTCAGGCCCGGCGAGGGCCCCTGGAGGCCGAAACTGGCCAAACACCTCTGGTCATGTTTTTTTGCACGACGCAGGCATGTCTGGGACCAGGACCCCTGGGGCCACAGTGAAAAGTTCAGATCGGCGGATGCTAGGGAGAAAAACATGTTTTTGTGCAGGAAAACGACCAGCCCCTGTTCTTTTTCGCCGTGCTCTCGGCTCCGCTCGGGGCCTCGCACGGGCCCCCAGAAAATCCAAGCAGGATGAAGACCCAGCTCTTCCAGACACAGGTTTTTCGCCGTTTTCGGTTTCATCAGGATGAAGGTCCAGATCTCCAACGCATTGCCAATGCGAGAAAGGGTTTTTGTTGCTTTCGGCCTCTGGGGGCCCTCGCGAGGCCCCAGGACCGTCAAAAAGCAGCTCAGGCAAAACACCAGCCTTGTGGAAAGGGCCGGGACTGGCCTCGGGGGAGCTGGTCCCAGAGTGAAAGACCCGGAGGTCCAGGACTGGTTTCCCACGGGACCCGGTCCCAGACCTCCGACGCCATCCCCTTCCCGGCAACGGTTTTTTCATACCGACTCGTTTTTTGACGGTTCAGAGGCTTTGTAAGGGCCCACAGAAGCCCAAACTAGCGAAGCACATCCCGCCATGGACATTGAACGACGCTCCTGGGACGGGCTTTTCATCCCGATTCTTTGTCAAACAGTTCCGAGGCCCAGTAAGGGCCCCGAGAAGCCGAAACTAGCGAAGCACCTCCCGCCATGGTCATTGAACGACGCGAGGGGGTCTGGGCCCCCAGACACGCGACGACTTGATTCTTCCAGTACGGGGCCCCTGGAAGCCCCGACCCTTTCCCCGGGAGCGGCCTTTCATCCTGAGTTCGGGAGCCCTGAGACGGGGGTCAATGCAGACGGGGGTCAGCCAGGGCGCCAGATCCTGCAGGATCCTGCGAAGACCCCCTCTGGCTGACCCGGGTTAGGGAGCCGCTCGTGGCCGCGAGGCGGCCGCACACATATTTACTGACCCGGGTTTGCGAAGATCTGCGTTGCATTTTTTTTTTTCCTCCATTGCAGTTTTTGGTTTCCTGCTGACCCGGGTCTGGATTGACCCAGGTCAGAAGATCCCCGATGAGTAGGTTTTTGATTGTCCCAGGGCCCGGCGAGGGCCCCCACAGGCCGAAGATAGTAAACGATCGTCCGTCGTGGTTTTTCTTTCCCCAGAGCGTGAATTACCTACCCCGCTTTCGCTTCCAGGCAAAACCAAGTCATACCACGCGCCTCCTCGTCAAGCGGCCTGACCAGTACAGGCCGTAGTTTGGCATCGCTTGGTATCTCTTGGAAGCGAGGGTGGTCAAAAGCGAGGTATAGGCTTGTCTGCCCCCTGTTTCCAAGACGCCAGCGTGTCTGCGTTTGTCCTCCGTGCCCATCGAGGTCTCCGCGCTCGCCACGGCTGCCCCGCACGAGGCCGCGGGGCCCGCGGTCACTGGCCGGGTCCCGGCCGGCACGTCCAGCGCCGAGCTGCTCCCCAGCCTGTGCCGCTGGCTCCACGGCGCGCTGCCCCTGCGCGCGCCGCCCCCCGCGGCCTGCGTCGACGTCGGGTGCAGGCACCCAGGGGAGGAGGAGGGAGGAGGGAGGAGGGAGGAGGGAGGAGGGAGGAGGGAGGAGGAGGAGGGAGGAGGGAGGAGGGAGGAGGGAGGAGGGAGGAGGGAGGAGGGGGAGGAGGAGGGAGGAGGGAGGAGGGAGGAGGGAGGAGGCAGGAGGCAGGAGGGAGGAGGCAGGAGGCAGGAGGGGAGGAGGAGGAGGAGGAGGAGGAGGAGGAGGAGGAGGAGGAGGAGGAGGAGGAGGAGGAGGAGGAGGAGGAGGAGGAGGAGGAGGAGGAGGAGGAGGAGGAGGAGGAGGGAGGAGGGAGGAGGGAGGAGGGAGCAGGGAGCAGGGAGGAGGGAGGAGGGAGGAGGGAGGAGGGAGGCGGAAGAGGAGGGAGGCGGAGGAGGAGGAGCGCTCCGGGCACACGCGTGCGCGACCCGATTGGCTTCTGCCCAAGGCAAATGGTATCAACGGACGCTGCCGTCTTCTGCGCGCCAGACGTTTCCAGTGCATGTTGTGCGTCTGTCGTTGAAGCAGGATATCGTCTTGATGATAAGGCACGCTGGTGTTGCAGATCGATAGATAGATCATGTACATGGAACGCTGTCCCTCCGCACGTGAATCCAGTCATGTTTCGTCGCAGAACCAGCATCGCCACCCCCCATCATCAGATTGATGAGTGTCATGACACGCTGGTGTGGCACGCAGGTGTCATGGCAGGCTGGCCTTCCGCATGTGTATTCACTCGTGTACCATTACAGGATCATCGTCATGACGATGGGTGCCATGATGCGCTGGTGTGGCACACCTATCTCATGACACACTGGGCTGCCGATAGTATACACCATGGATTGTTCATTCAGCACCGACCCCAGGGATTGCGTAAGAGAGCTCGGCTCCCTTGAGAGCCCGTTCGACAGGAAACAATTCAGAGGGCGATTTCGTGGACATTTCCTTTTCGGTGCCGCGGCGAGAAAACATTGTTTTTCGAGGTTCGAGCAGCATTTCGCCTGAACTACAAGCGCCGTCTTCCCCCACCAAGCGCGCGACCCATTTGGCCTCTGCCCAACGCAAGTGGTATCAACGCACGCTGGCGATTTGTGCGCCCCAGACCCAACGATTGCACGTTATGCGTGTGTCGTCGTAACAGGGACATCATCATGAATTTGACTGCAACGGCGCGCTGGTGTGGCAAAGCGATGGGTACACATGGGTCACTGGCCGTCCGCATGTGCATCCACAAAATGTGTTGTCGCAGGAACATCCTCATGATGATGGTTGCCAGGGCGCGCTAGTGTGGCCCACCAATGTCATGATATACTGGTGCACCTGGTGCGCCAAGGATGTGCGCCATGGCGTCCTGATCCAGCACTGGTCCATGGAAGGTTGTCCCTCCGCATGTGTATTCGGTCGCGTGGCTTCGCAAGGCTTTCGTCTTGATGATGGATGTCATGACGCGCTGGTGTAGCACCGGTCGGCCGCCTCATGGGGGCCTCTGAGAGGAAAGCCGTTCCAGGGGACACTTCGTGGTCAGCCCGCCTTCGTTGCCAACGCTAGAAAACATTGCGTTTCGTGGGTCGAAAGCTACTTCGATACAACTCCGCACCCTGATTTGCCCCACTGACTTTCTAAAATCATGAGGGGTTTTGAAAATCAGCACAGCAAATGATCGCGGCGATGCTCCGCTGAGGGAGTCACCCATCTAGCTGCGTGGCCCATGGACTTCAATGCTCTGTTTCAGCAAGCGGGCACTCATGCCTCTCCATGCCACGAAACATAAAGTTTTCTTCGCTTCGTATGCTATCCCAAGCAAGGCACAAACATGCAGCAACGTCCGCACTCCTCTTTCTTTCTCTGCAATAGCAGAACAGGTCGCGAATGCGTGCGCCCAGTGCGAGGAGGAGGAGGATGAAAAGGAGGAGGAGGAAATGGAGAAGGAGCGGGAGGAGGGGTTGAGGGGGAGGAACGGGAGGAGGGGGAATAGGGGGAGGAGGAGGAGGAGGAGGAGGAGGAGGAGGAGGAGGAGGAGGAGGAGGAGGAGGAGGAGGAGATTGTTTTGCTCACGGCGCTCGGACGAGTCATACTTCCGAACGTTAAAGGCTTGAGCCAAACGGCGTTCATCCAAGCCTCTCGAACCGCAGTCTCGCGGAGTTCAATGGGTCCGTCCTGCGGGCCAGGGGTACAGGCAGCTGATCTGGATCCTGCCATTGCACCCGACGCTCTTCTACCATGCAACACATCCAGAAGAATTCAGCGTAGTAGCGCGCTGTTGTTTTGTCCACGACGCTCGGATGACTTAGACTTCCGATCGTTAGAAGTGTGAGCCACCCGGCGTTGATAGCGACGACCGTCTGACAACATCTCCGTGAGACTTGCTTCCCAAGTTGCCACTGCATGCTGTGCCAGGAGGAGGGAAAGGAGGAGGAGGAGGAGGAGGAGGAGGCGGAGGAGGAGGAGAGGGAGGAGGAGGAGGAGGAGGAGGAGGAGGAGGAGGAGGAGGAAAAGCAGCCGCAGTTGTTGCTTGTAGCACGCAGTTGTCGTTTCAGCATGCAGCAGACTCGATCCGTAGGCCTTGGGTCAAGCTCGGCACGAGCAGCAGGAAAGAAACATCTTTTCATTCCGAACAGATCTTCGCATTGGTAGCGGGAGCGATTGGTTCCTATCATTCACGAAGTCAGTGGGCAGCGCTCATCGAGTGAGTGGCCGCAGCAGGTCACGGACACTGACGAGACGGAGAGCACGGACAGCGAGTCTGTGAGCAGCAGTTGGGATCTCCTGCACACGATGCCAGAGACAGGAGAACAAGCAGGCGCCGATGGAGGTGGTCTGCAGTTTCGAGGTGATGGCCGAATGCCAGGGGTGAAGCTCACGGTCCTTAGCAAGGAGTTGGCGAGGAATCCACATTCCTATCGCGAGTGGCGGAAGGAGATTGAGATCATCGAGAAGATTTATAAGGTGGCTCCAGCGGACCTCGGACCCTTGGTGTACCTCAGCCTGGAGAAGGGCGATGGACAGCCAAGGGAGTTTGTCGAGACACTCGACCTGGACGTGCTCAGCAGCGAGGTCGGCCTGCGGAAGCTGATGGAGATCCTAGACGAGGAGTTCACCGAGAAGGACTACGAGCGTAGCGAGAAGCACCTCAGGGCGTTCGAGAAGTGCCGCAGAGGCGTTGGAGAAGATGTCGACGACTACATCGCGAGGTTGAAGACGGCCAGGCGCAATCTTAAGGTACACGACCCTGGCACTACGTACTCCGACACCTCATTCGCAAGAAAGCTCTTGCGGAGCTCAGGGCTATCACGAGAAGCCCAGCGGCAGGTACTAGCAGCAGCGGGCGCGGAGTGGAACTCGGAGAAGATCGAAGCGACGATCAAGATGGTCTATGGAGATGTTCACCTAGACGAGAAGCGGCGTGTGGACAAGAGGAACGAGCACCCGAGCAAGCACACGCAGTATCGACAGTTCCCTCCACGGTTTGGACAGCCCACTGCGAAGTTTACTTCAGGCAGCAGTGCGGGAGGAGGAAACCTTCCGAAGCATCGGGAGGTGAAAAAGGCTGGTTTCGGCGGCCGGTCTGGAATGCCAATTACGCAGGAGGAATGGACGCAGATGAAGAGTTCAGCCAAGATGAAGATTACCCTGATTACGAGGACGAAGACGGTCAGCCACAAGACGCCCTCGTGGCGGAGGAGGCGCCAGACAACCACCACGAGGACGAGTACGAGCACGGCGATCAGGACTCGGACGCCGTGGACGACGAAGAGGAGGTGGTGCTGGACGCGTTCTACCAGGGCTTCAAGGCGAAGAAGAAGCAGTTTGGCCGCGGCAAGGGACGCGGGAAGAACACCACGAGTGGCGGCCGGGGAAAGAAGTCCGGAGTGTGCAACGACTGCCTTCAGCCAGGCCACTGGAAGGGCGACCCAGAGTGCCCGAAGGTGATCGCGGGGATTACGCTTCCGTTCAAGCCTGGCAGCAAGGGCGACGGCAAGAAGGGTTCTTCCTCGGCGAACATGGCAGCAACGATGGCTACGGACAGTGCGGCGCACATGGAGTTCAAGTGGTTGAACGACGGAGCGGAAGAATTGCCATCTCCCCATCCGGGACCGGTGGATGCCTTCGTGCTGGGTTCGCAGAAGGTCAAGGCGGAGGTGAAGCAAGAGAGCGACAACCTTGGGCTGGATCCCAGGAGGCCTCCGACACCGGGCTCAGAGTTCGAAGACGACTCCTTCGAGAAGGACTCAGACGAATCCGAGGGGGTCTACAAGAGCTGGACCGAGGAGCAGCTCAGTGCGGAGTTGGCAAGGAGGAAGCACAAATCGACAGGACCGCGGGAGGAGCTGGTCGGAAGACTCCTCCGATCCAACTTGCACGCGACGTTCATGGATGAAGAAGCTGACGGATGGCAGGGCGTGGAAAAGAAACCCACTGGAGCGGCTGGAAGTGCCGATGGCGGCAAGAAGCCAAAGCCCTCAGCGCGGCCGAAGCCTAAATCGACACCGGCGGCTTCGAGGTTCCAGTCTGAGAGGATCCACATCAGCGGCGACGACGTACGCTCGTTGGTCGATCGGCACAGGGCGCGGCTGGGCGAGTTCGTGGTGGACTTCACGAACCGCGCGCGCGACCACCACGCGGGGTACGTGACCGACTGCGAGCTGGAGGTGTTCAGGATCCTGACGGCGAAGCAGCTGCAGGATATACTCTTGATGCTCGAGCAGCCTTACAGCGGCTCAAAGCAGGAGAGGATCGATAGGCTGATATCGTTCATCACCGACCAGGTGGAGAATCCCTGCGAGCACAAGAATGCGGGCTCTGGCGAGATCCTGGACAACGTACGCTGGACAAGCACATCTACCTGGACGTTCGCGATCTGCAAGAACTGCAACCGATGCGTCCAGCGGATCCCGAAGACGAACTACGCGAAGGAAATCAGGGACAAGGCGTACAGCCGCGAGGACAAGAAGGACGCGCTCGTGGTCAATGACGCGTTGTGGGACGACATCGGCACGACGGAGCTCATCGA